TTGTACTTGTAGTAACATAGTAGCTAACAAAGTAGCTAAAAAACTGGGGTTGAGGTGGGGTGGAGGGGCACCTGGCTGGTTCAGTTAGTAGAGCATGTGACTCTTGATCCTCACATCAGTTCAAGCCTCATGTTGGGTGTAGAGCATACTGTGACAAAGTGGGGGTGGGGGCGGGTAGGTGCAGACCCAACTTATTGACCATTGTATGTTGAAAAGGGACACATAACAGTATTACTCATTGTGTCATAGATGTCTAATTTTGATTACTTTTTTTTAAAGATTTTATTTATTTGATAGAGTAAGAGAGTACAAGCAGGGGGAGTAGCAGAGGGAGAGGGAGAAGCAGGCTTCCCACTGAGCAGGGAGCCCAATGCAGGGCTCCATCCCAGGATTCTGGGATTATGACCTGAGACAAAGGCAGAAGCTTAACTGACGGAGCCACCCAGGTGCCCTAATTCTGATTTCTTATCTCCCTTAAATACTACTTTAGTTTTGATGTTTTTAAAACATGTCTGAGCTCTGTGAACTTTACAACTTTCTAGTTTGCTTTTTGCCTTTTGCCTTGTGCCTGTGTGTGTGTGTGTGTGTGAGAGAGAGAGAGTGTGTGTGTGTGTGTGTGTGTGTGTGTGTGTGTGTGTGAATGTGATTAATTGGTCTTCATTTTCTTTTGGTGTCTTTACTATCTACAAACTTTTTTTTTAGAGATTTTACTTATTTGTTAGGGGGTACAGAGAGAGAGAGAGAGAGAGAGAGTACAGCAAGGGGAGTGGCAGGCAGAGGGAGAAGCAGGCTCCCCACAGAGCAAGGAGTCCACTGTGGGACTCGAATCCCAGAATCCTGGGGTAGTGACCCTAGCCAAAGGCAGCTGCTTAACCAACTGAGCCACCCACACAGCCCTACAAACTTATTTTTATGCAAAAGAGGATAGCCAAATCTAACAAAGATTGTGAGACAACCAAAAAGATCAGAAATATGAACTGGAAAAAAAAATTAAGACTATATAAAGTGGAGTGCTTTTGACTATCCTTTTGCCTGCACTTCTCTTCTCTGAAAATTTTTTTATTTTGGTCTAGATTCCCTATGTTGAAAACTCCTACCATAGTCCCTTGCCTGGCTTAAAGCAGGGGTGGAGGGAGCACATTTGCTTCTTGGAGTATCTCTAAATCCAGGAATGGTGGTGGTCCTGGGAATTGTATTGTGCAATAATTGAGAACATGTAAGAACCCTTTGTTCCTCATTTTTATCCCAAATTGTTACTGGATTAGGTCTGTTTTATTTTAAGGTATGTTAGACTCTTATACTGCTTAATTTGGACAGCGAGACCCGTCTGTTCCTCCAAACATGCAGTAGAGAGGGGCATAGTGTTATTCTTTGTAGGAAGTGAGAGTCTGGGGATGGGTTCTCAAAAGTCTGTTTTGCTAATCCAAGAAATTTATGACTAAATGCTACAAGATTGTCTAAATGGAGTAGTGCAACTCCATGTTACTGCTAAAAACCAAAGGTTCATGTGGAACTGTGGATTTATATAGACAGAATGAGAATAAGAAAGAATGTATGTAGTTGTTTTCTGAACCCTTTCCCATCTGTTCATGATCTGAAGGAAACCAATCCCTTCAGTAGACATGAGTGACTTCTTCATTGTGTTATATTGATAGTTTCGTTATTGGGTCTTTCTTTTCTTTCACCTATTGTTAACCCTTTCCACATTATGCTTTTTTCCTTCTGAAAAAAAAATACAGTAAATGAATAAAGATTTTCAAATACTTAAACTAGCAACAAAAGATGGCGACAAAAAAAAAAGTAACCATTGGAATAGTTGCAGGATTCAGTTCTGTGTTGTATAGTCTATTAGTATTGTCTTAGCAGTTCATTTTTTCTTTTCTGGTGCCTGGCTGACTTAGAAGAGTATGCGACTCTTGATCTTGGGGTCTTGCGTTTGAGCCCCACCCACGATGGGTGTAAAGATTATTTTTAAAAAATAAATTAACTTAAAAAATAGGGTTGGGGCGCCTGGGTGGCTCAGTGGGTTAAAGCCTCTGCCTTCAGCTCGGGTCATGATCCCAGGGTCCTGGGATCGAGCCCCGCATAGGGCTCTCTGCTCAGTGGGGAGCCTGCTTCCTCCTCTCTCTCTCTCTGCCTACTTGTGATCTCTGTCTGTCAAATTAAAAAAAAAAAAAAAATCTTAAAAAAATAGGGTTAATAATACTTATCTTGCAGTTGTCTACAGTATGCTACAGGATATAATGCCTGTGTTAAATTATTTTGGTACAAATGCTGGACGGTTTAAACTATGTATGACATTACTTCCAGACCTTTTCCAGTCATGATACATAGATAAAATTGCAATTACTGTATTTGTAGATGACAATGTAATAAACTGTGGAGATGCTTTGACTAGAAGTCGTTGCAGAGGCTCAGGTTATCCCAGGTCCCACCTACCCAACTGCTTATAGGAATCAATAAATAATTTACGTATAACTCATCCACAATATACTGGTTAGGAAAGTTTAAATATGGTCTTGTATCTGAATTACATCAGGAATCTTGATTAGAGAATAAAGTCTGAATTCTGCCTTGCATTGTATTGGCCTTGTTACTAGGCAGAGTCTTAACTACTTAGTGATATAGATGGCCACCTGCTCTAGACTTTCCTTATTCTCACAGTTGTCAGTTTAATCAAGAATAAAAAGTAAATGCCTTTCTGCTATTAGATTAGAACATCATAGTTCCTTGCAGGGTTCTGATTGGCCCATCTTGGGTTACATGCATACCCCCAAAACCATTCATGACTAGATGGATGGAATCCTTTGGCCAGTACTTGGTGGTGTATCTGCTGCTGTGGTTAGGTAGGTTGTGTGTATGAAGGTGTGGCAATGATAGCAGAAGAAGATTAACCCCACCAGAACCAACAGAATGGGTTCCCCATACCACACCCCCAAAAAAGATCCTGCTGTGCAGAGGAAGGGATGAAGTGAAAATGTACTGGGTCAACTATTTGCACAGTCCACTATAGTACCTGACATCATTTCTGAAAGTATAATGGATTTCAGTGTGGAAATACATGGTGTTAGAAGTGAGTTCTTCGTGAGCACTGGGTGTTATATGCAGCTAATGAATTATTGAACTCTACATCTGAAACTAATGATGTACTGTATGTTGGCTAATTGAATATAAATTAGGAAAAAAGTGATTTATTTTGATAGAAATGGATAATTCATGATTTTATTCAAGATTTTATTTATTTATTCAGCAGGGCGAGAGAGCACAAGCAGGGGGAGCAGCAGAGGGAGAGGGAAAATGTGGGGCTTGATCCCAGGATCCTGGGACCATGACCTGAGCCGAAGAAGGCAGATGCCCATCCGAGCCACCCATGCACCTTGATAATTCACCATTTTAAAAATTATATTTTCTAATATAGTATTTTAACAGTTCCAATACGGTAGCCACTAACTAACTACATATAGCTATATAGGTAAATTAATTAAAATTAAATGTAAAAATTCAGTTCTTCAGTTGTATAAGCTACCTTTCAGAGGGTTCAGTGGCCACATGGAGTGGCTGGTGGTTATCATATTGGATAATACATATTATACATTTACATAATCACAAAGTTTTATGCAGTGCTGATCTAGACCAATAAAGTTTTGTTGTTGTCCCCCCCCCACCCCTTTATATCACACTTTGTTCCATCCTGCTTATCTTTCTAACAGGTTCTATATGTTTTCTTCTGTGGCAGCCCTTTGGAATTTTCTACACACAGTTTTTTGCTTTTAGGGTGTTATGTCAGTCCATTTCCCATCATTGGCAATGAGGAGTTTCTTTTAATCTTTATTTTATAACGTAATTACTGAAGAAATCCAGGAGGATCTTGGTGGGGAGGGGCAAGGAGTTTTCTTAACCTAAAAGAAAGAGATGTGTGTGTCTATTATACATGGATTTTAACTAGATGGGAAGGTTGTCTGTGAAAGTGCCTTTGTCATAATCTTGTATAATCACATAACAAACTCTCTACCCTTTTTAGGAAAAGGTTTCATCAAATCAGACATCTAATTGCCTGGCTCCCTCCCTTTATTTTTTGCTTGGGCAGGAGCAAAAGGCTATTTTGCAACAACACAATCTATAACCTCGCACCAATGAGAAAAGGTAGAGAAATTTAATTTTTCTCCTTACATACATGCACAGAGCTTTTAGGGAAAAGAAGCTTGGTAATAATTTGAAATCTTTTTGGAACCTATTCTAGTTATTTTTCTAACAGAAAAATGTGTGATTAAGGTGTCTATTTTTTGTCTTATCTTTGGACCAAAATTGCCTGTTTGTATCTCCCACAATTCTTACAAACCTTGGGAGAGAAGGGATGGCATCTAACTTGCTCACTGTTGTACATCCAACATCACCATTGGTGCCTCTGGTACTCACTAAGTACTTAATAATATTTTTGAATAAAGATTTCCATTATTCAGAGATTAGTTCTTCCATGTCTGGGCTATTGCTTTTCTCCATTCTCCTGCTTAAGTGTCATTCCTCCCTCAGAAGTATGGAAAACAAATACATGTGCATGTAGTATCATTTTTCAGATCCTCTTAAGCAGCCATGATAAGAACCACGTGGATGTGTGGAGCATAACCATTTTTAACCTCTCCCCAAAAAGCTGATTTTTTTCCTGTGGCTTTTGCATTTTCCTATTGTACTTAATTTATAGTTTTCAAAATTTGTTACTTAAAAAGCTTTCAGGCTTCCACTTTCTGCAGATTTGAACATGTGGCCATTTGATACCATGCCCTGCAACATGACCTTTATGCTCGGCTCACAGATTTCCTTTGTCTCTTAGTTAGCAACTTTATTCTGCCTAACCAGCTGAGTATTAAAAATAAAATTTTGTATTCTATTTCTATTCCCCTAAGGTCTCAAATATTATGTTAAATTTAAAAACACAGTATTTATGGATCCTGTGAATATGAATATTCATAGCTGACCCTTTTTCCCCCCACCCCCATTTCTAGGACTATCCTGTTAAGTGTAATCTCATTGCTCAATGAGCCCAACACCTTCTCCCCAGCCAATGTGGATGCTTCAGTTATGTTCAGGAAATGGAGGGACAGTAAAGGAAAAGACAAAGAATATGCTGAAATCATTAGGTAAGGTGTTTTGTTTTACCTTCCGTTTGATTACTTCAAGTCTTTATACAGAACTAAACCGTATCCTAGAACCATGGCTTTAAATCGGACTTAAAGTATCTACTCCAGTCCTCTATTAGATTTATTGTTTGGGAAGAGATTTCTTCCTGAGCCTAATGAGTTTGTTTGGCTTTTGAGAGAGCACACAGTAAAAGATAATGCTGCAGCAGATCTTACTTCCTGGGAACCAAAACTTCCAGGTTCTGAACCAATAAAGTTTATAGATTCTGCCTCTCAAACATTTTAGGGATGCTGTTCAGGATTTTCAGTATGTCCTTTAAGTGTAGCAAACACCAAGAGTATTCTGGACATCTAGGTATTTTGTTTTCAAACATTTTAATAAAGCCGTATAGTTTATTGGCCCTTTTGACCATAGTAGCAAGTATCTTCTAGGTATCATCATTACCAGCAACACTAGTATATGGTATAACAGAGCCATGGAAGCTTCCTCTCAGTGGGAGACTTGGAATCTACCCCTAGCTCTGTCACCCCTTATAGTACCTTTTATCAGTTAATTTTTTGGGTCTTTGGTTTTTCCATCTGTATAAAAGGGGGGAAAAGTAGGAGGTATTGGGGCTGAACCATTCATCTCTTGATCATACCCTAAATAGGACTTAAAGGTTTTCTTAACAGTACCCAACAACTGATACTTGAATTGCAATAAATTCATTTCCTCTTATATCCTTAAAATAGAGCCCCAAGGACAGTTTTCTGCACATAGTTTTTAGTAAGCACTACAATTTATACAAATAGTCCCTCTTTATAACTCTAATCAGCACGATGCCATGTGATGTACAGAAAAAAAGGAAAAACGGCATAGAAATAAAGCTGAATAATATATATATATCAGTTTTCACTGTTTTATGCCCACCAGAATCACCTTTAGACCCCCTTCCATAACCATAGTCATTTAGTGAGATTACAAGGGTAAAAGCTGGGCAGCTGTATTTCGTTTTTACCATCCACATAGGTGACTGGTGTATACCAAAGATTGAAGATAATTAGTATAAATAGTAAGGACCTAGAGATTTAGAGGAGCTGGAGTAGGTTGAAGCTTCAAAGATGGGAGTGCTTCATAATATAGTCAGGATTATAGCCATTATAGCCGGAGCCTGATGTTCAAGGAAGGGTATGATTTAGTAAGTGAAGAATTAATATCCCTAAGGCATCTTTTCTTTCTGTTTCTTAATTTAAGGGTTTATCTCATTCTTTAATTCTTTCAACATTTATTATACACCAGCTGCATGTCAGGTACACTCTGTTAGGTCATGAAGGCAGTCTCTCTTTGAGGAGGTCACACTTACTAGCAAGAATTTGTGAACAAATGACCATGTAATGAGATGAGTGCAAATACATACTCTCTAAGCATAAACAAGATACAGTAAAAGGCATATATACTGTTGTGGAGTTCCTAGGAGAGGTAATCATAACCAAGATTTTTTCAAGTAGTAAGGGAAAGGAAAGAGCCCTTTCAGGGAAGAAACAGGTTTGGTAACAGGTAGCTAACAGCATGGTGTGATTAGAGAACTGTAAGCAGCTTTGCATTGCTTGAGTATAAATTCTCATTTCCACAGTAATGGGAAATTCAGAGAGCCATCAGATCTGTTTTCGTTGTGTGGTTTTTTTCTTTGAGAGGGATCAGATCTTAAAAGACATTTGAAGCCACGATAAGGCTTTCGTCCTTAATCTTATAAGTGATAGGGTATCACTTAAAGATTTTAGGAAGGGAAGGGGAAATTATATTTGAGTTTTGAAAGAACCCTAGTTGACCAGAAGAGGCTGATACAGGAAAGAGAAGCCAAGATGAAGACTAAACAGAGGCAGGGACAGTGAGAAAACAGATCTGAAAGTAGAGCTTTGGAGTGAGGTTTATGATTTTAAGAATACTCTTAGAAGAAAAATGGGAGAAGCTGGCCACAGAGGTTGAAAATGACAATTGCAGACTTGCTGAGTTAGGGTCCCTGTGGAACATCAGGGTGGAGACATCCCAAAGGCTTACTGAACGGTGTAGGGCTCAGAAGATATGGGTGGATCCTGATGGTTTGACAGCTGCTAGCATGAAGGGGCATGGTGGCAAAAGCTATGGGAATGACTAAGATGACCCAGGAAGAGACAGAGAGGGAAGAGCATCAAGCCAGGGTGTATCAGCAACACAAGCTGTCAGGTTTGGCAAAGTAAGGCAGACAGCAATTATCAGTGGGGAACCATCTAATTAGAGCCAGCAGAAGGAAGATCATGAAGTTGGTGGTTTGTTGTTTTATGGTCATTTTTTGTACTTGAAGGAAACTTCACCCTTCCATCCGTCCAGTCAGTAATTTTTGCACAGCTTAGTATGTGCCAGGCTGTATTCTAGGCATTAGGGAACTGGAAGAAAGAGTAGTTCTCCAGAGAAGTTCACAGTGAGGGGTGAGGGGGATGGGAAGGGGGAGAAAACTGACAGAAAAGCTAACAAATGGGGAAGGTCATAGGAGAAATGATTAGTGGTTAAAAGGAGTGACTAGGTGGCTGTTTTAACTTGGGTTGTCAGAACAGGCTGTTTCAAAGTTCAGCAGGCAGTCGTGTAGAATCAGAAGAGTTCTTAGCCACACAGAAAAATAAGTGTTGTTCTAGGTACTAAAGAAGAAAAAAAAGGACCACGATGTCCTGTATGTTTTGGGTGACAAGAATGAAGTGGGAGGCAGATGTGTCATGTGACATTGGAACCCTACTTGGCTATCTGCAATCTAAGTGTAAATGACAGGATTATTGAATTAAGAGTTGTTGGGACTGCGAGTTTGGTAAGACAAGGGAGGGGAAAAGAATCTCTGAGGTCACTTCTGGTTAACCAACATCTAAGACCCAATGCTTTTAAATACCCTTCAAAAGGTCATTATTAAGTGTTGTTTAAAATGCTACCCTGATGGGCTGAGAACCTTTGGTGTAGTATCTGTCAGATACTTTTAGGCAGGCACTGAAATTGAGAAACCTTGAGTCATAAGGAGTCTTTTTTTTTTTTTTTTTTTTTAAATACGGAATCCTGATTATTAACAAAGGCCAGTTGCAAATCCATCCTCCAAAACAGAGACTTACATAAACTTTCTCCCTTCAGGAAACAGGTTTCAGCCACTAAAGCCGAAGCAGAAAAGGATGGAGTGAAGGTCCCCACAACCCTGGCGGAATACTGCATCAAAACTAAAGTGCCTTCCAATGACAACAGCTCAGATTTGCTTTATGACGACTTGTACGACGACGACATTGATGATGAAGATGAGGAGGAGGAAGATGCCGACTGCTATGATGATGATGATTCTGGGAATGAGGAGTCGTGACGTGCTCCTTCAGTGCCCCGTACTGCCCTGCCGTCTCAGGCCAAAGGGAGGGGAGCAAGTGGGGACCTAGCAGTGGCCCCTCAGCAAAAACCTATCACTGGGGGTGGGAAAAACAAACACGGCTCCTGCTGACTTCCCCTTATGGATCTCAGTTTGCTCCTTTTTATGGACCTCTTAATGGAGAGAAAGTATCCTCCACAGAATGTCTGAATTCTTGCATTCTTTACCCTTCCATCACTGTATTGATTCTTTTTTTCTTCTTCTTTAAACCCAAACTCTCGCCTCACTTCGTCTCTACAGAGTGTTCACAGCAAAACACGTTTGGTCTGTTTTTAGATTCTTGAAGAATTAAATAGTCTTTCATCAAGACGTTTAATGTGTTTAAAGCTGGGAACCCATTGGAAGTTCACAAGTGCTGCATATGCTGAGTAGCAAAAGAAAATGGGAAAAAAAATATAAAACCCCCACAAAACTAACTTAAAAAAAAAAAAAAAAAAAAAAGCAAATTTGCCAAGGTTTAGCTGCTCATTTAGTGTGTGTGCATTCGATCAGCCCCATGGTGAATTTTGTTTCCTTTCCCTTCTTAAGGCTGGGATACAGTGGGCATCAGGGACTTTGTGCTAAGCCTGATGAGAATGTGTTTCTAAGGGCACAGAGCCCCTTCAGCCTCCAGGACATCATCTTAACACAGGGGGCCTCAGCTACCCTGAGGAGAGAGATCAGATTTTGTTTTTTGAAATCGATTGGGATCTAAAGCCTGAAAATAAATATTCATACTTTACATAGAACTGAGCACTTGATTGCTATTTATTTTAAAAGACAGAGTTGTTACCCTCCCCACCCCAAGGGAGTGGAGAGAGTGGAGATTGTGTGTGTGTGTGTGTGTGTGCGTGCGTGCGTGCGTGCGTGTGTGTGTGTGTGTGTGTGTGTGTGTGGAGTCTTAGTGATGGGAACAAGGAGTTTAAAATCACTATGCCAATTTTGGTTGATGCTGCTGGGGAAAAAAAGTCAAAACTACTGGTGACCACTGTTGGGTGAAAAAACATGTTTTATGTGAACATGGCCTTTCCCTCAAAAATATTTTGAAAATCCTCATGGTGAGAGTGCAAGTAGCCAGTTTTAATTACTCAGTATTACTCCTAGGTGCATGTGTTAAGATTGTGGTTTTCATTGAGCTGCTTATGCCAGTAGTGATAGCTGTGGGTAGGAGACATGAGTGACCAGTTCCCACTTTCCTCATTGGATGGGACCTGGCTTTTCTCTCCTTTCAATGTACGCTGGCTGTGGAGGGCAAGCAGAAGTTGTGCATGGAGCTTGCCCTGGGCTGCTTGGACTCTTTTGGCAGGGCCGAGGGAATTGGCTGCAGGCGGTATCTGGGCAGCAGCTCGATCTTCCAACTGCAGTGGCTGCAGCTTTGACTTCCCTGGTCTCAATCACGTGTTACTTCAGTCAATATTGAGATCCATCAGCCTTCACCAACCAGGGACTTCAGAACTTGGCGGTGATTCTTGAGAGTGGGCCAGTTCATAGGAGGGCAGTGTTCTTTCAGTGGGGAAAATCATTATAATGTAAAATTAGACTTCGGAAGGAAAGAAAATGAGCAGAGACTGGTTACAATCCTCCTCCAGATCCCTTTGTACTGGTGTCAACGTCTTTTCTTCAGATCATAGCTCAGAAAGAACCAAAGGGTTGATGAGGGACAGGGGGTAGGATGGATCCTAGAACAGAATAGGTGATGCTTACTTCCTTAGCTCCTCCTTCCTTTCTGATCTCAGGGTTTTCATTCGCTTCAAACTCCACATTTGCTGACTAATGCCCAGCAGACCTCTCTGGCCTCTAAAGTTTGATCTGGTATTAAGTGGAAACGTTACCATGCACAGGTTCATATGGGACAGTGTTGAGCCCGGTCCCAGAATATCTGTCCAATCCCCATGGGGCTAGGACTGCTTGCACCCCTGAATCTAGCGATTCCAGTCAGATTCCGAGAACAGAACAGCTCTTTGTGACAAAACACTGGCCGCAAATTCTCATAGGAGGATGTTGGAACTAGCTTTTTACAACCCATGCTTTTTAAGTAATGCTTCTGGATAACCTGCAAATCTTCTGGAGTCCAAAGTCTCTCCTAATGCTCTGATTACCCTCTAAACACCCCCATACACATTTACAGCCAGTAGCTTGGTCTTCTCTCTTGGAGCCCTAAGATTAAGGCATTTCTTTCTTCCCTTATCCTAAAAGCATTTCTCTGCCAGGGCAGGCCAGGCACCTTAGCCTTGTGGAAGGTGCTGGGCTGCTCAGCCCTGTCCCATTAGGCCCTGTTGGCCTCTGTTGCACATTGACTCAGGGAGCCAGAGAGCCAGGTGGAAGTCATACCTCTCAGCCCTTTGGGGTGTTACTAGTGAGGGCTGGCTTTGCCTCTGATAAGAGTACAATCAGTTCCAGAAAAGACTGGTATGTGTTGATTGGCTAGCAGGTGGACATTCTGGTAACTCAGACTGACCTGTAAAACCCAGATGCTGGTTCCAGAGCTCTGTCCTGAGAACACATCCTGTGACAAAAGAAAACTTGAGCATGTAATTTTTTTTTCCTTTTTGGGAGTAGAGGTCTCAGGGTCAGACCAGAACCTTGTAAGTACAGTTGTGCTGATTATTTGGTGTTAACATGAATGCAGAATCCTGCATTTTTAGATTCCTTTTGATGCTAGTGGAGGCCTCTCTGGATGCTCTTCAGGTCTGTGTGTTTTGAGGCTGGATGGAGAAAGTAATACCATGATTCCGTTGTTGCTTCTCAAAGTCTTCCCGCTCTTTTTCATACCATTCCAGAGTTCTTTTCTATTAGCCAGACTTTTTTGTAGTCCTCTCTTTCCTCTTCCCTTCAAATTACTTCTTTATTTGTTGGTTTCCTTATGTTTGGGACATACGCAGTAGGATACGGTAGGGAAAAGTGTAGTTCTCCACTGAAAGTTAACTCCCCACCCCTCCCATTCTGATAAAAATGGTTTACATTTACAAAAAGATTCAGATGCAATTTTCAACTATTCTGAAACCAGCAGGACACACCTGACTTTAATAGTTTTCTTAGCTGAAATTGTAGATTGTTTTTCTTCAGTTTAACTTATGAGAAAAGATTATCTGATGCATTTTTTGTGTTGAACTTCCCCTATAGTGGTTTATTTTGTCTTTTTCTGCCCATCTGTCTACTAATAAAATGTGAAATAAAATATACCTGTATTGCTACTTCCCCATGGGATGACCCTCTTCTTTCTTTGTGTTAAAGAAAACTAAAAGGTGGTCTCAGTACTTCCACTGTTGCCTCACCGATTATGCCCATGACTCAGCTGAAAAAACAAAAACCAAAACCAAATCTCACTAATCTTTTAAGATATTCTGCTCAACTCACCTCCTCATGGAATACACATTCCCAGTCCGTACCAACTTTTTAGGAAAGGTTATTAAGACACAAGTACCTTAATTCTTAAGTAGGGCACAATCTGCCAGTACAAGTAGGTCGGTAAAGGGATGAGGGTGCTCCACTGGCCTCCTTAGGTAAGCCTTTTGTTTTCATCATTTGTCTTCTGAACATCCTGCTGCTTATTAGTAAGCAGGAAACGGGCAAGAGATCGTATGAAGTCCCTTTATTTGAACACTTACGTTTTTTCTGGCCAGGATCTCAAGCTGTGGGTCACCAGCAGCAGGGGCCCCATTTGATGAAATGACCACTGATTTTAGAGGGCAAAAGCAGAAAAGGTGAAGACTGACCCCAGGTTCTGGCACACCAACTTGACCAGTATCTGATGCCCCACTCTGGTTGCTTGCTTAGCCTAGTCTGAGGGGTCATTTAAGAATGAGGCTATAATGCCTCGGTCAACACCTGGAGACTGGAGCACAACTGTGCTGCAGAACTGTGGGGCGATCTGCCTCCTGCCACACAGGGCTAGTAGATGGCCTTGATTCCTCCCCGACCAGTGGCCTGGGAACAGGAGGAAGGAGCTGCGCTGGAATCCTGGCCCAAGTGAATGGCTGCTTGGGACTTTCTGGAGCAAGTATTTTGCCCAGGACCCACTTACCTACTTCATACCACCCTGACTCGCTCGTCTTCTCTTCCACCCCACCCCTTAACAGTTAAGATTCTGGCTGGTTGATGAAGAACAAAGGATAGAGAGAGTGAGCTGTTCAAACTTCCTCTCTCTTCGGTCATGAGAAACACATCCTGCTCTCACCTTTCAGATTTTAATATCCGCTGACATTCGGAAATGAAAGGACCCTGCCCTGGTATTCCTGTTGACTGGGTTGGCCCTGTAAGAAACTGCCTTATCAAAGTGAACTTTGATAACCACTGCCTGTGGCCTGTGAGGAGGGTAAGTGGGCTTTGCAGCCTCATCATTTACCTTTCCGCTCTCTGGATGCTGACCAGGGCAAAAGAAGGAATGCCAGTTTAAGCCCTCACGACATACTGTCAGAAGACTGACCACGTGACTGCTACTTCGGCTCTAATGTGAAGTCCACAGTGCCCAGAACAATCATGAAGACAGCCTCTGCCCTGACCTACCCTTTAGTCACACCACACAGAGACCGTGCATGCTCTCAGAACTTTATTAGGTGGAGATTGGGCAAAGAGAGAAAACCCCTGAAACAGTCGCCCACCTGGTTCAGGACAAATGGAATAGAGGAGCCTTTGCTTGGAGACGTGCTCTCATTGAGGTGAAGGCATATCTTGGGATTTTTTTTTTTTTTTTTTTAAAGGGAGCAGATATGACTGAACATCTCTGAGCACAACTTCAGACGGTTTTTAAAAAAACGGTCAGCCAGAGGAAGGCAAGTCTCTTGGGGACAAGACCAGAAGCAGAGGCCTCTGGTCTGTATGAAGACAAACAGGTGCCACTTTCATGTTGGGCAGGAAGGATATCGCTGCTATTCCCAGTTCTAGATTTGGTAGGTGAGGAACATGACAAATGACAACAGGTCTGCTCCTCAAAGAGAGGGCTAAAGTAATTACACAGGGAAAGAAACTCAAAAAATGGCTTTGAGGGAGTGAGATTAAGTCGTGATTCTTCATTGGTACCTGACCCCAGTCCCCAAACTGCCTTGAAGCAGCCCTTCCAGACACTGCTCCCAACTGCCCCTGGGGCTGGAAGGCTACAAAGAAGGCCTGAAGGCAGGAGTGGGAAAAGGGCTTCTTTGCTACAGTGAGAAGGGGCTCGAATCGGGATTGCAGACCTGGCTAAGAGTAGCAGCTGTACCCCTACACCCCAAGACTTCTATCACATTTACAAATACATACATAAATACATTACATACAACAGCGAGTCTGGGAGGCAGGTTCCCCACAGAGGCTCGGCTGACACAGTTACACGTCTCAGGGATTCTAGGA